CTGTGGTCCTGTCTCGAGCTGAAGCTTCCGGCTGGGCTGATGGTCTTTCCAGGGCTGGAAGGCACATGGTTTTTCTCTGGTGCTCAATGGAGGCACACCAAGGAAAACCTGCCAGTTTGTCAAGTCTCCAGCCCTGCCCACAAAGACAGATGTCTCTGCTCTACGTGGGAGCCGACCAGCCATCTCCCCCCGAGGCTTCCCCCGGCTGTTCACCTCTTGTTAGGTTTCAAAAATGATTTATGTCTTGCCAGGAAGCCTGGGGCTGAGGAGCTTTTGTGCACACGCATGCCTGCAGACCCTCACCCCATCAGCACAGGAGACATTCCGGTGGCCCCAAAGTTCCTCCTTGCCTCCCAGTCAGTCCCCACCTCGAATCCTGGAGGGGAAAGCTTCTCCACGGCCGTGGCCGCGTGCTGGCTCTGCCGTTCTGGAAGGCCCTGCACAAGGACCCGTACCACGCATCTGACTTCTCTCCCCAAGCACGACACCTGCGTGTCAGTCCTCATTCCTCTGCCCTGCTGAGTGCTTTCCATCCCGGGGAGTTAGCATGGGTTGGTACCCATCCTTCTGTGATGGGCTGTGGTTGGTTTCCAGTTCCTGGTGCTGGGGCAGGGCTTTCGTGAGCACATTTCCAGCTCCCCTGGGCCAGTCATAAGGAGCGGAAACACCAAAAGGGTGGAGGAGGCGACTTCGTAGGTAAGTGCCTCAACTGCTCCCACACACTCAGGCCATTTCTCACGCCCACAGGAGAGCAGTGCAGGGCAGTTCCTCTTGCTCACACCCCTGCTGCCAAGGGCCCGACATCTGCGTCCTCCCAAATCTATAGGTTGAAGCCCCGGCCCCCAGCGTGGCCATATTTAGACTGAGGAAATGGTTAAGCGTCAATGAGGCTGTAAGGATGGGGTCCTGACCTGACAGGATTGGTACACGCAGTCGAGACATGGGGGCTTTTCTCCACCGGTAGAGGACACGGCAAGAGGATGGGTGTCCATGAATCAGGAAGAGTCCCCAACGGGGACGGAAGGCCCCGGAACATGGGTCTTCGACTGCCAGCCTCCAGAACCACGAGGAAGTCAGCACTGTTCAAACTGCTCGGCCTGCAGTATTTTGTGCAGCCCAAGCCAGGACACTTGCCGTCTGTAAGTTCAGCTCTTCCTGTGGGCACCTGCAGAACAGTGGCATCTAGTTTCCCTGAGGGCCAGTGAAGCTGAGCAGTTTTTCAAGTGCTTGAAACAGCCATTTGCAGGTCTTTCTTTGTGAAGTATCTGCTAAAACCTCCCCCTTTTCTTTGTTACTGGGCTTTATGTGTTCTTTACGGACCCACCCCAAGCTCTCTGTCAGGGGCAGAGGCTGCGGCTTGCTCACTCTCTACAGAGAACCAGACGCCCGGCGCACCACGTCAAAGACGCCGATCTTTCTCAGTTGGACGGACTTGGTCAATTGTCAAAACTAATGGGATGGTGATTTCAGTGTGGGACTATTTTCAGACACATGGACTGTGCCGTTTCAGCTGTCGGTCCTCATGTCCCCACTGCCCAGTCTCACTGACCATGACCTCTGGGAAATCCTGGAACAAGGGATGAGTCTCCTACAACTTATTCGAGATTTTTCTGGCTATTCTAGGCCCATGGTGTTTCCATACAAATCTAAGTCAGTTCACCAACTTCTAAAAAGAAAATCCTTCTAGGATTACGTTTGGGTTGCATGAAATCCTCTGACGGGTTTGGGGACAGCTGGGCAGTGAGCAGTTCTGGAACTTCTGACCCACATGTGCATATCTGTCTACTGAAGACTGCCTAGTTTCTCTCAGCAATGTCTGGTAGCTCCTAGGGTACAGAGCATCAGACTTCTGTTAGAATTTCCTAATTATGGATGTTATTGATGTAGTTAAAATTAAAAAAAAAACCCCAGCGTATGTATTTAATATATTCATCACAAGGGCTCAACCGAGACTTAATTTTAAGAAACATAAAACAAAAATGATCCCTCAGATTAAGATAAAGAGTCTCAGAAATGAAGGAAAGAACAGATCATTGAAGAAGAAGATAAAAAGACAACACAAGGAGAGGGGCTCCCCAGTCAGGGTTCCTGGCTGGAGACCTGCTTTGAGGCTTCTTGCAGATACTTCTTAAAGGCTGTGGGTTTTTCCAGAGCTTGGCAGCATGTGTGTGCAAAGGGCCTTCAGTGTTGGTTTCTCCTCGCAGGCTCTGGATGGACACCGGGATGGCCCTGACGTCACCCTGGGCGGACCCCTTGTCCTTCAGGGTGCCTGGGCAGATGTTACCCCGGGAGTCTGTGCTGGGGTGGTAGCAGGGCGTGGGTGCGTTGTAGGGAGCCACTGGAGAGTCCCGGGGAGAGCTTCTACCTCAGATCTCCATGGTGGCCCCCGCCCATTTGGAAAGGTCTGACTGAGGGAAGGCAGAGATTCCTCTGTCATAAGACAACATGAGGGCACTGGCTCCTGCCGTAGCCTCTTGTCCACGGGGCCCGGTTGGCACCCCCGCTGGGCCTGGCTCCTCTGCCGGCGGCGGCTGGGTCGCGGTTCTGAGAGGCCATCCGGGCGGTGTGGCCAGGGACACAGGAACTCGGGAGAGCACGACTGCGACTACCTAACATTTCGTTTTCTGACAGCTTTCGCTAGCATCTGGAAATAGCACGGATTTCTGTGCATGGTCTGTGACTCCTGGCCCTGGGTAACTGCATGCATTCCTCCTGAGGACCCTGTGACCCTCCACATATGTGATCTCCTCACCTCGAAGACAGGTGCTTTTACTTCTTCCCATGCTTTTGTTACTTTTTCTTGCTTTTCTGCACAAGCCATGATCTCCAGCACAATGTCAAGCAGATGTGATGAAGGCGGATGCCCCTGCGTGCTCCCCACCTTGTGGCAGAAATGTGCAGTCCCCGCAGGTAAGAACGGTGTAGACATGGGTGGTTTACGTATCAGCTTGAAGAAACCTTCTGTTCCTTGTGTGCCACAAGATGTTTCGTTAACTGTGAACCAGTTAACACATGCTTTCCCTCCATTAGTTAAGATGATCGCAGCATTTTAGCTCTCCCCCATATCCGGTAATTCACTGAACTGCATCGGTTCGTTTCTGTCCACTCAGTCCTGCATCCCGGGCAAAGCCCACTCGGTTTAAATGCCTCATGCTGCTCAGGCGCTACGGGCTTTGTTTGCTAATAGTTCAAGAAGTTGTTGGTGCTCTTGAAGAATAGTGCTCTGGAACGTTCTTTTCTTGAAACGTCCTTGTCCTCCCTGGTCTCAGAAACATGAGCTGGGAAGGCTTTCCTCTCTGTTTTTAGGATGCGTGTGTGCAGGGTTCACACTGTTCCTTCCGTAAATGTTTATAAAACTGCTCATCACTGAGGACTTCTGGGCCTGGGGTTTTCTCAGTTGGAAAGGTGCTCAATTCCTAAAACTTATCAGATTTTCTGTTTCTTCTGTCAGTGCTGGTAATTCACATCTGAAAGAACTGCACCATCTCCTCTAACTGCCTCCTTTATACACGCCAAGTATGAAGGGGTTTAACTTTGTATTGTAAAAACATCCCAGCACCTGGGAAAGCTGTACACACAGCGCGGAGCCCCGCGCACCTGTCATGCTCAGGTCCACGCCGTGAACCTACCTTACCTACCGCACCCGATCTCACCAGTTTTCCCATGGATGTCCTCCTCCTGTGCCAGGATGGCCCAGGGCTCCACATCTAATGGCTGTGTTCCCTGGGCGGACCGGGCCTCAGTCTTTAACTGCACTCCATGGCTTTGGTCCTGGAGAATATTGGTCAGTAAATTTGAAGAATGTCCTTCAGTAGGGGTTTGCGTGGTGTTCGTTTCTCACGATTAGATCAGAGCTCTGTGTTGGGGCAGGTCTGCAACAGCAGGGGTGCCGTGTCCTCCTCGGGGCTCCTTCTGTGCCTGGGGCCCTCCTCTTGGTACCTTCCCCCCCGAATTCCAGCAGGATGCGAGGCGCAGAGCAGACAGCCAGGCACCTGCCGTGTTTCCCCCCGAGCCCCACTGTCTGCTGTCCAGTGTGACGGGGGCTGCACAGCGCACTGGGTCCAGTTTCCAGCTATTCACGGAGTGCAGGGCAGCCCGCTGCCACCACTCCTTCACGGCCCAGCGCAGCATGAACACGTAGGAGCCCTGGGGACAGGGAGGCCGCGCTGACCCACCGCAGGAGCACGGAGGCGGTGGGTGCACAGCCCTGGAAGAGCCCCCAGCCTCTCAGCACACTGGAGACGCTGCAGAAAACACAGACACCGCAGCTTCTGAGTCTGTGTGGAGGTGACAGGCACTGTGTAGCTGCCGCTCTCCTTGACCAAGCCCGCTCTGCCTTTCTGCTTTCCAGCGAAGGAGGGTGAGCAGCATCCAACACACAGACAGAATCGAGTAATTACACCTTTTAGTGCACCTGATAATTTTTATCCAGCTGCTGCGAACAGTCCATCAAAATGCCATGAAAGGTGCTCGGCAGTGCTGTCAGGCACCGTGGGGGCCGCTCACCTCCTGGCGTCACAAGCCTGACACATGGCAGCCCGACAGCGCCGCCGCCCAGATCCCCTACGCTGGCTGCGCTCCGTGGGGGCCCTTTCCACTCCACCTGACGAACCTGCTGTCCCAGGCGGGTCCCCAGGGAGTGGTGGGAACACTGCGCACGTTATGATTTCTAAATGTAGCCGAGGACAGAAAATCCAAAGTGAAGTCACAGACGGACATGGAACCACAGCCTGCTACTAACGTGACCAGACACAGCTAATAACTTCAGTGTTTGAGGAAAAGGAATGGTGAAGATCAGGACTCCTGTCTTTCTCGCTACGTGGATGTGGAGTCTGGAGAATGCGCCCTCTGAGGTGAAGTCCAGACACGTGCTAAGTCCCACGGCTGCTCCAACCACCTGCACCTGCCCAGGGCCGGGCACCTTGCTGGCCACACCAGGGCCAGATGCGTGCTCCTGGGGCTTCCCGTGCTGGTGCCCACGTCCCAGGCGGAGCGCCCACCTTCTGTACTCCAGCCGCTTCCAGTGCCCCTGGAGGTCCCGGCCAGAGAGCCTCAGATGCAGCATTAACCGAACAGCAGGCGGTCATCACACCAGGATGAAGCTGCTTCAGCATCCAGAAGGGTGTCTGAAACGCATAAGCGCGGGCTCCTGGCAGTATGAAAGGAGCTGGGGCGGTATGTACCCACGGGACTCCTGTGCTGCTCAAGGACCACCCATCGCCAGCTAAGAGCTGGCTCTGCTCAGGATCTGAGGGCAATGCAGCAACAAGCCAGGCTCCCACTGGCCAGACGGACATGGGGAACAAGGGTATCAGATGAATGGCAGCCACAGAGGGGTATACTGGCACTGGGCAGAGTGGAGGGGAAGGCGGGACACACTCCATGTACGAACGTCTGATGAGGGCAGCCACATAATCCCACGGGAGTCCACCACACAGTACTCACTAATTACACAGCAGGGAAGAGCGGCTTCCCGGAGAACTGCCTGGGCCTGCCGGGGACGCAGGGCACACAGCCAGCCAGCGTCGGGTCGCAGGGGACAGGGGAGACTGCAGGCCATGTGGATTGGAGGGGACCGGGTGCGGCAGAAGCAAGCTCTCTGTGAGCTCGTGCTGGCCCCTGCCCCCGGGGAGAGTTCACATACCTGAATGACAAGGTGTCCAGTACAAAAGAAGCTAGTGTCCGGGATAAAACCCCAGATCTTACTAACAAAAGGAGAAAAGTGAAAGAGACCGTGAACACAATTTGCCAAGTTCTGTGCCTAGTTAGTTGGAGGTCAAGAGGAAGCATGTCACTCCTGATTTTAAGATTCAGAGAGTGTCTCTGAAAACTTTGAAGATGATGGTAGGTGGCGATGGAAACAGATGAGTACCTGCAAGGGCCCCGTGGAAGCTGGCGGTGGGGGAACCCTGGGTTCTAGGGCCCGGTGAGAGGGCGTGAGCCGGGAGAACACCTGGCGCCGACCAGCTACGCCGGGGTGCATGGAGCCGCCGACTCACCTGGCCTTTAGGAGACACTCCCCGAAGCCAGCGAGCGAGGCGTCTGCAGAGAGGACACAGCAGGCAGAGAAAAAGAAGGAAGTTGGCGCGGCTTCTCTGGGGTGAGACTCACGGGACTGTATGCCTTTCTGTTAGGAGTTAACTGGACACTTACATAGTCAGGGCCAGGGTCCCCAACAAGAAAGCAAAAAAGCCAGGACAGCTAAGACAAAACCGCACTAGCATCCTGTTTTACAGCTCACACGAGACCACGAAAGTATCCTGTCTAGCAGGCTCTGCAGGACATCTTGACCAAGAACCACAGGCACTGAAGGGACAAAAATCCTGTAACACTTCCTGACCTGTTCCTGCCCTTGCTGATTTAAAACATTGGTCACTATCACTTCACCTCCAAATGTCAGGTCATAAGACCACCAACATGTGAACAAAACCTGATAGGGAGATGGGTGCATGATCAAAGCCCCAACTGGCACACCTTAGCGGCCAATCCACAGGGGCCCAATCTCAGGATGCTTAAGATAGTTCCTCGAAAGAGTTTATAAAAACCCCTTCATTGGAAGTTCAGAGGGCAACCCTCTCAGTCCCCAGTCCCCTCCCCTTCCGGCAGCTTTCTACTTTTGCTCAATAACTTCGCTTTGCTGCCCACCACTCTTCGTCTGGTCCACCTCTTTGTTCTTCGAAGCGACGTGACCAAGAACCACAGGGACTGAAGGGACAAAAATCCTGTAACACTTCTTGACCTGTTCCTGCCCTTGCTGATTTAAGCCACGCAAAACATTTCCTATGTTCCAGAAACCACCAGGAGGGCTGACCTGGAGAAAGGTGCAGCTGCCGAGGGGCTTTTCCTGTGAGTCTCTTCATGGAACGGGCTCAGAGTCATGATGCGTCCCACAGAAAGTGCTTGTACAAAGAGCTGGAGGGCCAGGGGCATTTCAGGGGCGCAAAAACATGCCCCAGAACTCAGAAAGCAGCAGGAGGGGCCCAGCAGGCACAGCCCAGCCAACAGGGCAGCAAGGGGCGGCTCCTTTGCAATGCATTTCCCTGAAACATAGCAAATAAAAGTTCTACTTACTGCTCCAAGCATGATTCTGAAAATCAGCCACCGAAAGCCCCACAGAACGATCTGGGACGGGGGCGTCCCCGTGGGCAATCGAGACAGAGTCCAAAGAGGGCACAGGAAGATCCCCAGGAATCCTGTTTCCAGAAGCTGGGACTCCCATCCTGGAACGATGACAGTAAGAACAAAAAGGGCCGTGTTAGCAACAGCCGGACATTCTCCAAAGAAGCAGTTCCACCAAACTCCATTGAACTTAAATGGTCCCTAAACTAGGACAGGTGGTGTGACGACCTGACATGAAGGCTGAACACAGAGCGGACTCCGGCCCCGGTCTGCACTCGGTGAGGAGGAAGCCAGAGGGAGACGCAGGGCCAGGTGTCAGGGGCTACAGCTCCACCGCAGGAGGTCAGGGTGCGCGCTGGGAGCCCCGCTGAGAAATGCAGTGAGCAGTACACGCACGGCAGCGACGAGGGCTCCGTGTTCTCACAGACACTCCCGGAGCTGGGACCTGAAACAGGCTTCAGGCTACTGGCACTTGGCCTTTCTGCATGCTGCACGTGTTCCCTTGAATCTCATTCTGATCAAAAACTTTATCAGCATGAAAGATGCTTTACACAAGGGTCCACACACTATGGTTTCATTCACAGAAGGTTCTAGAATGAGCAAAACTGATAGAGGAAAAAGAAATGGGAATCCAGCTGCCAGGGATGCCAGGGTGACACCCAGTGGGGGTGAGGGGCAGGGGGTGCCTGGGCCGAGACTCATCAGAGGCACCTGAAGATCTGTGCATTGCACGGTTTGTGAATTTCTTCCTAAAACAAAACAAAACAACAGACAACAGACAAACCTGCGTTCTGAACCCAAGTGTTTAGGGCTGGATGGACAGCTCTTGGGGTCTGCAACTTGCTTTGAGATGCAGAGAAGGTTAGGACGAGGGATGGGGTGAAGCAGACGCCTAGTGCAACCTTGGTGGTGGGTTTATGGGTTTCACTGTGCCCCTATTTGAAACTTTCTGTAGTTTGACATTTTTCATAATAAAATGGGGGGAACCCTCTCTTGTGTTCTGGGGATTTCTGAAGCCCCAGTTCCAATCAGCTCCTCTGTGGGAGAGGTCAGCTTGTTGTGAGGCGGTGCCCGGCACCAGGGCTGATGGGCGAGGTGGCCAGTGGGGCGTCTCCGAGGCTCGCTGCCTCTGCTGAGCCACGTGCGCCTGTGCTGGGGACGCTGGGGCCACCAGCCTGCACCCTGCATCCGTCCAGGGAGGATTCCAGAAGCAGAAAGAAGCTTGGACGGTGCTGGGGAGGGGTGCCCTCAGGAGAGGGGATATGAGGTGGGGGCTGCAGCCGGGAAGGGGGCCCTGGTGCCACCCCTCTGTGGGGACTCAGTGTGTGGGATGCCCACGTGCGCTCAGGCCAGCCCCATCGCGTCCACCTGTCCTGAGCCAGAGCTGGGAAGCCCGACTTCTGTCAGAACTCCCAGAAGGAAAAAAACAGGAGGTATCAGCAGTTAGTCTGTTTTTGGAGATTCCAGACGCAGACCAACTGCATACCTTGGGTCAAGGTTCTCTTCTCGTTCACATCGATGCAAGACCTTTGCTTTACAACTTACTTCAAACTCCCTTTCTTGTCTCAACCAGGAAAAAACAGACTTTGTTCCTCATATGACAGTTTCTCTAGTTTTATCTTGAGCGATAACTGTCATCAAATTTGGACTCATTTCACTTGGGGTGTGTTTTATAATATGTGCCTTCATGCCCCAGGGGTGCTACAGAGCATGGAAGTGACTGGTAACTGCGGCGTGCTTCTCTGTGGACACCTCCACTTTTTGACTGAGAACCTCTCAGACTGACCACCCGATCCAGTCCCTCTGCCCACGCGCTGAGAACGTGTCGGAGCCGGGAGGCCCTGGGCCACGGGGCAGCAGCACGGGTGGGCCGGCAGGCGCGGGGCATTCTGGGCAGAACCAGGCAAGCCGCAGAGACAGGCAGGTGGGGCGTCCGCCCCGAACACTGCGGGCACAGGGACACTCGCTCAGCCCTGACGTGCAGAGCTGGCCCTGCCTGCACTCACTGGAAACCCCTCATAGACTTTGAGACGCTCACGTGGGTGCAGAGCATTCCCCAGAGCTCAGGCCCGCCTTCTCTAATTGCCACATCACTTTGCACAGATGTGACGAGCGGAATTTTAATATGCAGTTTGAGTGACACCAATCAAAGTGATGTGCAAATGGCAGAGCCCAGAGACCCACCTAAGTGCCGGCAAGCAGGTGATGGGGCGGGCAAGGGACACAGCACCACCTCAGGGACTCACATGGACCCGCAGAGGGTCAGCTACCCTCCTGTGAACCTACTGGAACCTTCTTCACCCTGCTGGGGTGCTCGGGGAGAGCGGAGCCACCTATGCCCCTCACCGACCCCCCCCCACCTGGCTGGAGCCACCGTGTCACTGGCTGCTGGCCCCTGGGCTGTGAGCACTCGCCGACATCGTCGGAACAGCTGTGCTGCGGCCCCAGGACCACCACTGTCCTCCAGTGTGGTGGGCGGGCGTCCCCAGAAGACGGATGCGCAGGGCGCCGCCGGCTGGCTTCCCGCAGCCCACAACTGCAAGCGCTGACCTGAACACAACTGGCTGATCCCACCGCGGCCTCCTACCAGTTAGAAGTCCCACTTAGGAGGGCGCCTGGGCCTTTTCAACCTGTGCTCAGATCCTTTTCTGGAGGGGAGATAGCAAACTGGCTCCTTCATGGGTGTGCAGACGCCTACTCAATTTCAGGGGGCGCCTGCGTGGCTCAGTTGGTTGAGCATCTGACTCTTGACTTCGGCTCAGGTTATGATCTCACGGTCGTGGGATTAAGCCCTGTGTTGGGTTCTGCGATCCGTGTTTCTGTCTCTTCCTCTCTTCCCCCCCCGGCTCTCTAATAAAATCTTTTTTTTTTTTTTTTATTTGAGAGAGAGAGATAGAGCAAGAACACAAGCAGGAGGAGTGGGAGAGGGAGAAGCAGGCTTCCCGCTGAGCAGGGAGCCCGATGTGGGGCTCAATCCCAGGACC